TAGAAGTTAAATAATTGATGGAGGGTTTTTGAAAGTAAGGAGAATTGTTTGATAAGGAATTTTTTTTTTTGTTAATTGGGGGGGGGGGGGGGGGAGAGAAGAATAGCCATGATACGGGGAGCCAGTTCATCAAGCAGGCCAACTCCTGTGCTCTTGAAGCACCTGACTCCCCCAGGTGCTTGGCAGCACACGCTCAGTGGGCAGCTTGCAGCAGTAGCGGGACATGACGGTGACTTTGATGTACAAAGTCGAGGGATACCCTTGGCGGAAAAGTATCATCAGGGGGTGGGGGTGGGGGTTGATTGACCTGAGATGGTTCGACCGCGGGGCGACCTTCAAGCTACTTCGAACAGCCGGCGTTTCGCGTATTTTGCGGCCATGATTGCGGCAAAGACGCCAAGCATCGAATAAAGGCTAGCCAGGGTTCCTGCCGACCTAAAGCTTAAACCAACCTATAGTACGTACTTCTATATGGTGAGCGGTGGCTAGATCATTGTCAGTACATGCAGCCTCTTGTTCCTACGGAGCCGTCGTTGGAAAAACACGGCAACTCTGCGGACAATGGGAACGCTGACCATGCTGTTACCGACAGCTTGCGTGAACTCACCGGATGCAGTGCTTCTTGTTCAAGGGGTCGTGCTCTGCGAGCTCTTTCAAGAGCGCCACCTCCTTCTGCGCCGCTTTCCGCATCGTGTCGTTGTTGCGGATCATCTTAAGGGCCACCTCTGAGCCCCCCCCCACCGCCGCGGGCCCCGCCCTAATCCCACCGCACAAACGATGCACACAAAACCACAACAAAAACAGAACCCAACACCCACAGATCCCGCCACGAGAGTACCACAAGAGCAGAGCAGTCCACGCCCAGCACCCACACGGAGGAACATCATGGTCCGGAGACAGGAACCACAACAAATTTCCGAGAAAATGTAGGGCCGCGGGGAGGAAGGACACAAAGCGCAACCGAGAAAAGCGCCCGTCCGCCACAGGCCAAATCGTGTGCGAAGACACGCAGAGTGCAGGAACGAAAAAAAAGAGAGAACGGCGACAATAACAGGGGCGGAGCAGCAGCGGGGCAAAAAGAGTCGATAGGGTCAGTTCTCGACGGCCAAGACACAAGTCATCTTGCGAAAATAAAAAAAACACCATACTTGTACTGTTCGCCGTAAGACAAGGCACACTTGGAGCACGCGCTGGTGGGACACACACAAAAAAAACAACTTGGAGGCAGGTAAACAAGACCGCGGCCGACTTAGTGGGCGGGCCCAGAACCTAGAAAAAACAAGGTGTTTACGTCGGTAGTGCAGGATAATCATCAAAGGCTGTCGCTGACAGTTCATTCCATGCTCGAAATGAGCAAATAGATTTGTAGCACCAAACACGTCCCCAACGAGGGACAGAGGGGAGGGATACGGGAATATATGGACTACCTCACACGTCACACGTTCCCCTCCCTTCCATTCCATCATGGCCGTCCTTTCTCCAGACACACTAGCGTGGCTAGCACAGCAGCAACGTTGCTTGCTTGCCGGGCTCTGGCGCCACCTATGATGCACATGGGAAAGGTTGTGCAGAGAGCCACCCTGTGGTGTGCGCCGTAGGCCATAGGGGGGAACAGCGTCAGATCATCATCAACATCGTTCAGTCATTCGCTCGTCTACGATGAAAGGCGCGGCTCTACCTGTAATGTACCTATATGAAGGCTACGTGTAGCGCCGGCGGTACGAAATACAAACAGATTGGGTTAAATATTGACAACACAGAGCAGAGACAAGCAATATAATGAGTGTATAGAGGAAGGAGGTCCCGCCCAAGTCACCCGGACAACCGGAGAACAAAAAAAAAGGCAGTGAAACGGTGACAAGAACGCACGTATGGACTGAAAAAGGACGCAGGGCAAGAACACCGCCGCCACCTACACCCCCTCCTCCAAAGAACGGAACGATCAAACACGAGGAAAACAAAACCACAAGCTGGTCTTAGCATGGCAAGGGCGGTGGTGGCGCCTGAAGGTTTGGCGGCACGAAAAACCGCCGTTAGAAGGATAGATAGCCAGCCCCAACTGTTACCCTTGCCACTTTACAATAGCCGAGAAGATTTGCGAGAAAAAACTACGGCAAGTAAATGCTAAAAAGTCCACGGGGCCTTCACCGCCGTGTGCCGGTACGGTACCATCCCACCATCGCATGACACGGCAAGGATGGTATTGTGGAAACGGTCACCCGTTTATTACCTTGTGTCGAGGCACTTGAGCACGGTGCTGAAGACCCCCTGGCCGACCGATCCGAGCACGGTATACCTCCCCCCGATTACCTCCCCCACCCTGGTCTTGTAGTACCCCTCTACATCCGTCCAGTTGCCCTGCAAAAAAAAAAAAAAATGGGAAGCGGCGGAGCGGCACCGGCAACGTTGAAGAGCCGCGGACACCAACAACACGGGCCGTTGTCAGTTGTTGCAGCGGATTTAATATATGCCACGGGTCGTTGGTCTTGACTACACAATACAATCAATTCACAAGCGTTGCTTGTATCGAATTGTAATACCCACACACACCACCAGAACATACCATCTCAGGACAACAGCTTCTGCGCCGAGCAAACCCCATGCCCTCAGTCGAAAACGGTCTCCGCTTTTTCCAACAGTCCGCGTAAGCGCACAAAAAAAAAAGAACGTATCGTGACACAAAACCACGGTCGTCACGGCCAAGTCGCGTCCGTGGATCGACCTCATCGATCTTATTACCTGGTCCCCGCCGCCATCCTCTCCCAAGAAGGACATCCCGTGCGCCCCCCCCCCCTTGCCACCCATCTTTCCGCCGGGCCCCCCTGCCGTCGCGGGCAGCGCCGCCGCGGAGAACATGTCGAACACCGGCCTGTCCTCCTTGCCCTGCTGCGCTCGCAGCTCGCTCGACGACATCCCCGTCGCCACCCCGTTGCCCTTGTTGGCGGCGGCGTTACTACCGTTAGCGTCAGCTTGGCCTCCGCCTGGAACCGCCGCCGCTCCGTTCCTTGCCTCGTCCTCATCACCACCGGTGGCGGCGGCGGCGACGAGCTCCCCTCCATCTTGCGAAGCTTGCTTGGTGATCTCGATCGGACCGGCGTCCTCGTCCGAGTCGGAGGCGTCGTCCTGATACCCGCCACCTGTAGGGCGCGCGGGGGTTTCCAGGCCCGCATTCGGCCTTAGAACTAGTGTATTCCTTGTTGAGGTGTGTGCATGCCAATATAGCTGAAATTGATGTAATGTCTCATAAAAGTACCTGGTAGATGTTCTTGGCGAACCACCTTCGACATGGACGTCTATTGATATTCCGTGTGGATTGCAGTTGCGGAGGTCGACCTATCGTATACGGAAAAAACAAACTTGGATGGACACACCCGACACCCACCGTTGTTTGTCGTGGCGAGGTCTCCGTCGGCTGTGTTGTCCTGGCTTTGAGGGGATGGCTTTACGCTGGACGTGGTGGTGGTGGTGGTGGTGACGGTTACTGCTGCCTCTTCCTCGGCTTTCTTTCGTTTTTGCAGTGCTTCCAGCTTCTCTTTCCTCTTCCTCCGTTGCTGAAGGGAGAGAGGGAGAGAGAGAGAGAGAGAGAGAGAGAGAGAGAGAGAGAGAGAGACGGAGAGAAAGGGAGAGGGAGGCAGAGGGAGGGAGGGAGATGAATACACACAGGGGGAGAGGCGGGCAATGGACACAGCAACGCCAAATAGCGCGGCTACAACAATGTAATCGATGTCACCCAAGAGGCCAGCGTCAACTCCTCGATACAAACTGCTGTCGGGGACAATAATTTATCGTCTTGAACGTCGTTTAGGCAAGGGCCAAGACTACCTCACCGCCACAAACCACTTCCCGACGCGGTCGAAAAACACTCTCCATCATTGTAGCCCTGCCGATCTCATACCACCTGCTCGCCGTTGCACTCTCAAAAGGCGACCAAGAAAGAACATACAACAGTCACCACTTGGGAACGTGGTCATGCTTGATGTTTTTCGCAGAACACAGACCCGGCTGGGTTGCTCGAAACGAAATCGGACCGTTCGTTGCCGCCAAAACCTCAAAATGCGCCAGTCGGTGCCTTGCCCCCCACTCCCCTCACCTCTGCCAGGCGCCTCTCCTCCTCCTCTTCGTCCACCATGAGCGAATCTAGGTCGAGCTCCTTCAGCTGCTCGTCTTCGTCGCGCAGCTTCCTCTTCCACATCTCGTCCGGGTTACCGCCGCTCCCCCGGTCATCCCCGCCGCGCCTCCTCCCGTCCCTGTCGCTTCCCCTGGAGCGCTTACGGTCTCTGCTCCCGTCACGACGGTCGCCGTCATCATCCCTCCTGCTCCGGCCACTGCCCTTCCGGTCCTTGTCACGGTGATGCCTGTCCCTATCCCTGTCGCGATCCCTATCCCTACTTCGATCGTGCTCTCTGTCGTGGTGCCCCCCGCCGCCTCCTCTTCGCGAGGACGATTCACTCTTCCCGCCACGCTCACGCGAACGGCTTCGACTGCCGCCGCCGCCGCCGCCGCTGCCGTTTTTTGCCGAGGAGGAGGAAGAGGAGATTTTCTTCTTGTCCTTGTCCGACTTTTTTTTCTTGCTCGTCGTGCTGCTGCTACCGCGCTCCCGCGACTCGCTGCGGCTCCGACTCCGGCGGCTGCTGTGGCCCATGGTTGGCGGCGGGCCGATACTCGTCGGGCGCTGGATGCTGTGCTCTTCTTGGACTCTTGTTGGATGCAAGTCAAAAGAGTGGCCTTCTTCGCCTATTATAACAGCGGGGAGAGGACAAGAAGCAGAGGGCGGATGAAATGCGCGTGCAAATTATGAACAGATGAAAGGACAAAAGAAACGTATATCAAAGTCCGGTGGAACGCGCACTGGAGGGGCATCCAACGAGCTTCCTGGTGCAGCATACTTCGATGAGTGTGATGCACAAAAATCATAAAAAGATTCGGGTTTCGTTGCGTCCGTGTTTGAGAGCGCAGAAACTAGGTAATCTGGAAATTTACAACAGCGGTATCGTATGCATGCATATCGTATGAGTAGCCACAGACCATTTCCGAAACAGCGGTCCACTGCTGATTGAAGCCGCCCGTGGACGGGGAAGGAAAATCTACCAGATAGATGCTGCTCGTAGCTTCACACATTTCTCATGGGTTGTCATGGCTTGTATGCATACGGTCGACGGTGTTAGTTGATCGGGACACATGAGCACACGAGCACACGAGCGGAAGAGCGTGCTGTATTAATTGTTGTTAGTGGTGGTAGCGCAAAGGGTGCCACAACCCCCCCCCCCCTCAACGCAGTACAGTCTGCGAGACCCGACCGCCGCCGCTGTATCTTGAATCTTGAACTGTGAATGGGGCAAGAGAGAGAGAGAGTGACAGCAGAGCGAGAGGGTGGGAAGGGGGAAGAGTAGAGAGAGAGCAAGAGTGCAAAACGAACAGCAAAAATGGTTCCACTGATGTCCGCCAACCTCCTCACATGTCTCTCACCTCTCATGCAAGTCGTACGCCCGACAGATGCACGAACGACGGACTACAATCCCGTGGGTATTTTGCGAACGTGGGTGTTACACAGGCACGAGCCATCTTTAGACGTGATCCAAATAAACAAACCAAGAGATAAAAGGACACCCAAACACGCCCCATAGTTCCCATCCCAACGCCCTATCTGAACCTAGGCCCCGATGCTGAGTACGCTGCATGCTGTTGGTGTTCCTGCTCGCAACACAGGAGAACAACCGACATCTCTTGAGCGTAAAACAACAGCTGGGCGTCAACGACATCTTGAGACCAAAAACTTTTGCAACCCCCCACCGCCTCACCTTGAAATCGCGTGTCCAGTTGCACGTGAGCTAGAGGTGGTGAGCGCGAAGCCAAGAACAGAAGAGGGCGGAGCAGAGCGATATGTAGCGTGCGCGTGTGACCGGGACAGCGGGGCACTTTCCATCTCTAACCCCCTAATTTTTTTTTTTTTGTGATCCACGTGGTAGGTGTGGTTGGGTTTTTCGAATAGTCTCGTGTGTCGACCCCCCCCTTTGGCACGTTGGGCTGGTGCAGCGTGCGTGTGAGGCATGGGGGCTCAATGCAATGAAGATATTGTGCGTCGTGCTGGGCTTCGGGCGTTCCTAAGAATGGGTCGAAAGCACTTTATCTTAAATAGTTGGACCTTCTACACTACACATCGGCTAATTGTACTGAAGACAACACCCCCCACCAGAGACTTGACGAGGCTTGGAAAATGTGCTCTTTGGAGTGCTTCGAAGCATCATATTGATTGATGGATTTGTCGGAGGATAGTTAAGCGTTTGGGTGCTTCAGTGGCGCGCGCATCATCGCAGCACTCAACATGTTGACGCTCAAGTCAGGATGTTGAGCTGAAAAATCGTCACAAAGGATGAAACAATTGGGGGCCGTGCGCCGTCTGTTGTTGTATGTGCATAGCGACACGCGTTCATCACTAATAATCTCTCATATTTTTCGATGGGTCCCGAACCCATGATTTTCACAGGTACATTTCGTTTCAGTCACCCCTCATCACTATGGGTGGTGCACCTACTTGTGTTTTTTCCCTTCCTTCAGTTCATATCATCTGCATGCATACATATATCTCAGATCACTCTTCTTGCACCAACACGATCGAGCCATTTTTTCACCATGCTGGTACACACCTACGCTCCTGGTGTTGACTACCTCCAACAGCTACAAGTGAAGTACAAGACCAGAGCGTTTCTCAAGTTTTGTACTCAACCCGGGATGTTATACCTCAAGTCGTTTTTTCTCAAGTTTTCCCTGAATAAATAATAACCGAACCACAATGAAATCCACACGTATAATGCAACGGAGGGGATCGACAAACCATGATCTCTCCGCCTTTGTTTGCGTTCTCGGGCCTGCTGGCTTCTCCCGCACAAAAATTGTCGTTGTCATTTTGTCCTCTCTTATCCACCACGTTTTCAAACACCACCACCACTACTACTACTGCCGTTGCGTGTTGTCTTTGTTCCCCCCCGCCCCCAACGGTTGAGAACTTACAATTGCTCCGTAGCCTAACGTTGCGTTCATTCATCGGCTCCCTCAATACAGCAGTTCTATGTCATTGCCAAGCTCCCATGGTCTACTCGGCGGGGCGTACATGCGTGCCTACGACGTTTCGTCAACAAGAAACAAGGTGCCCGCCCGCCCCCGTCCCCGCCCCCCGCTCGCGACAGTAAGAAGCAAAACACAATCAACCCCCCCCACTTCTTCCCAAGCAGAGAGCAGAGAAGAAACTCGGAGCGCGCAGTACGTGTACACATCCCCCCGTCTGTCTGTTTTTTTTGCTTGTGGCACACTCCCCCCCCCCCCCCTTGTCACTCTTCCCCCAAAAAGGGTGGGTTGACCCTGCGGAATGTCAACAGCGGTCAAGCCCTTCCCCTCTACCACCTCTTCCTAATACCACGCCTCGATTTGCTGGGAGGGACAGCGACACAGCACGCGGTAAAAAAAAATGGATACCGCCTACCACGCGAAAAAAAAACAGACAACGGACGGGCGAGGGTATACACCTCGACCGTGCCGGCTGAGCCAAGTGCAACCCATCGTCGTGCCACCTTACCCACAGCCAAACGGCACACACACCTCTTCTCTGCAGCGGTACAGCACCGACAACGAACGCACGCACGCAGCATCAACAACCTCTACCTACTTCCTTCACGTAGGGTGGCAACAAGCACAACCCAACCAAGATCAGAAAGATCACTGACTGTTGTTCACAATGCCCCCAGCGTTCACTTCCAAGTTCGTACCACGTGATTTTCATTCTCATGTCGAACGTTTCCCACCCACAGCACCTTCTTCCCGACAGCAGGGCCAAGGAAGGGAAACATACCGAGTTCGAGTCGACACACAAAGCAAATGCGAGGGCCTAGTTGCACAAAGAAGGACAGGGACACAAAAGAGGCCCAAACCAACACGCACTCCGTGCCTAAGGGGCAAGAGGGAGCGGCATCAAAAGCGCGCGTTCTCATTGCTACTCCCGTCTATTCAACTCCCAAAAAGCACAAACGCAACAAACACGTCCAGCGATGAACGAGTAAAAGAGTTGAGAAGGCTCGTCAGCCTGGGTCAATCAACGCACGGGATTGCCAGCCCCCGCTCCCGCTCCCGCAGGAACCCTCTCTCTAACATACATTCAGCCCTGCAAGCATATGCATACATGTAATGCAAAGCACCCGAAAAAAGCCGCTTGCCCAAAAATATCAGTCCGATCTTTGCCATTTACCCCGCCAAGTTATCGCCCAAACAGACCAGAAGTAGTTCGGTTCGGCTTTAGCTTTCTTCCACAGCAGCGGCAGTGCAGTCTTCAGTTTCAAATCTTTTCTGGCACCGACGTCAGCAACTGCGCCATCAACCGACAATTGACGGCCAGCAAGAACAACTGCAGCGAGCGGAGGAGCGCATGTTCTGACTCTTGCCTGCCGGCCACTTTCCTTCTTCTGCCTACAGCAGCGAGCAACAGAACCAGACCGATTTGGGCGGTTCGCACGCCAAGACCCTGTACGATCCAAGAAAATACGACGGGAAGCCACAGTCGCGCCGCGTTCCATGGCAAAAATTCCATCCCATTTTCCTTGCCACGAATGATTTTGTCGTACAGATCGGTCCCACCCGATAGAACAGAAAAGAAAGCAACGAGTGCTGCTGTATGTACCAATTTCCCGTTTCCAATCCCCCCCTCCCCCCACCTTTACCTCTACCTAAACAAGTCAAGCCGGTCGCTTCGATCGCACGAAAAAAAACACACAACACACAACCACTACAAGATCCTGCCGCCCGCGCGCGGGCCCAGCAGGCACCCACCCGCCACCGCCGGCCCTCCCGCCAGGCATCGATCCACAAAACCGTCACACCAAAATCATCATCACGTTGTTGTTTGTCACCACTGTTCGCCGTCGGAGTCGGAGTCTACGCCGCCCCCGCCTCTTCGTCCCCCGCCCTTGTCGCTGACGTCCTTGATGAAGCCCTGGAGGTCCCGTAGGGTGAGGTTGTCCATGGAGTCGATGTCCAGCTCGATCTCCTCGTCGGAGCTCCCGAGGGGCATTCGCGCCTGGATGATCTCCACGACGCGGGTGAGGTTGGACTGGTCCAGGTTGTTGATCGCCACGCTGAGAGCCTTCTTCTCGTCAAACGTGAGAGGGTTCTGGGTGGCGGCGAGGGCTTCCGCCGCCCGCGCCGCCTCCTCCGCTTTTCTCTTCTTTTCCTCCGCGTTTTTCCGGGCCTTCGCAGCGGTCTTGGCGGCCTTGTCGGCTGCGGCCTTCGCCGGGTTCGGCGCCGCTCTAGACCCGCCGCCGCCCATTCTGCCGCCGCCACCGCCTGCTTTCGCGCTCTTCGCCCCGCCTTTCGAACTCCTCGCACCCGCTTTGCCGGTACCGGCTTTCGACTTTCGTTTCGACCCAGAAGATGGCTGTCTTGGAGGCGCTTCCACCTGGAGAAAAAGGGAGGGGGGGGGGGGGAAGTCAATCTCCGAAACTGTTTTCAACTACGACCTATAGCAAAAAAATGCTTGACCGGAGGAAGGAATGGCCAGGACAAGTATCGTGTCAAAAACATCAATGCACCCTCGTTCCCCACTACTTAAATAACATAACATACGACTTTTTCATGGCATGAGAAGTTGTCGCAGGCGGGATACACGAGCAGCAATTCAGGAGGCGAAGTTTGGCAAAAACTCAACCGCGCTCGGTTCCTACGATATACAGTGAAAAGAAAAAAGACAGGCACACACGTGGACAACCAAACAACCCCGCTGCCGACACCGTTTGTTGAACGCGAACCGAATAGCACAAGCCAATGCTCATGATTCACTGCGGAGAAAATAAACCAAACCAACCCCAGGGGTGAACTCCGAAAGGGCAAAAACGCACGCATGCACCAGGACCGACAAGTAAACTCACAGCGGGTGGCGGCGGCGGCGGCGGCGGCGGAGCCCCCACCCCTCCTTGCATCAAGGCAAGCTGCTCCTGCATCTGGGTGATCTGGCGCTGCATCATCAAGACCTGCTGCTGGTGCTGCGGGTCAGCGACCGGGGTCACGGTGGGGGCCGGAGCGGGCGAAGGCGCCACCGGCGGCGGCGGCTCCGGCTTAGGTTGCGCCCGTTCCGCCTTCGAAGAAGCCCGGGCCTTCTTGCTCGTGGATCCGCCGCCGCCGCCGCCCCCTTCCCGTCCGTGAGCACCGCCCCCGTCCGAACTCTTGCGCTTCCTATTCCGGTCCGGCATCTCCTCATCGCTGTCGTCGGAACCGCCCAAGTTGCCAGCGCCTCCTGTGCTACTGCTGTACGGGTGGTGGTTGTTGCTGTTGCTGTTGCTGTTGCTGCCGCCGCCGCCGCCGCCGCCGCCGCCGCCTCCACCCGACTTTTTTCGCTTCGAAGGAGGGTCATCTAGGCCTGGCCCAAGCTCCTCCATCTTGGCATCGAACACGTGCAACAGGTGCCTCGCAGCAATATGGACATCGCTCGTCTCGTCGGAGTTGTAGTGACAGGCGTTGCTGAAAACAAGACGGACTTCGTGGGCAAACTCGACCGTGTTCTGCAAGCAGAGGCAGCAGAAAACAGTGGCGGGGGGCACACGGTTGGGGGTGTTCGCTTCAGAATTTCAATCAACAAAAAAACGAGAGGAAATGCGAGACACGGAAGCACGAAATGTCTACGCTTACCAGCCCCAAAGGCGAAAATTGCTCAGCTGCGTTCAACAAGAGGAAGCCGGGCATGGATCGCGGTGCAGACGGGTGGTCATCCAGCCGCACGGCACTGACATTCATTTGGTTCGGCCGCCGTGAACGGCCGCCGTCGCGCGCCGGATGTACACGACAACACGCGGTCACGAAAAGTCACGAAAATCGCAAATCCCCGGCGCGGGTGGGCTCTCAACTGTGCACCTCCTTACAGTACACGTTGCAGTCTGGATACCACCGTAGCAGCGGTACTTTGTTGGATAGCCACAAATCAAGGATCAGAGTTTAGCCTCGGGGAGGGGGGGGGCGCCCATCACTATATACCTATTGTTGGCATCGCATGAGGCACTCGCGCATTAGGGCTCTACGCCTCCTACTTCCAGCGCGAACTTCTTGAAACTATATTTTTCTTACGAGAGGCATGGTTCTGCTACGTCAAAACGCACTCCACAGCACAACGTTTCTCTCGTCAACCGAAGCCACGGGAGACGACAACATGTGCCGTTAACGAAACCAAACATCAAGCTACCTCGTGATCCAACTAAAGGGGCACCAGCACAAGAAACAACACCCGGTCAAACCATCCAAAAGGCCGTACCTTGTACTCTCCGCTCTCCAGCTTTGATTTCACGGTGCCAAGATCCATCGGCCGTTTGATAATCGTGGTGTACTCCGGCAGGTTGAGCCCGACGTAGTCCACCGGCTCGTTGAACCACTCGCTCTTCCCTCGGATAGCCCGCAAGTTGTTCAACACCGTCACACAACGCCGCAGCCCGTGAGTGAGGTGCGTCGTGCCGTCATTGCCGATGTCGTTGATCAGCTTGGACGGCGTGCGGCTCACTCTCCGGCTAGGGGGTGCCGGCGTCTCCGACCCCGAGTCACCCGCCTTGGCCGACCCCCCGCCATCAGAAAAACCAGTACCCCCTACCGCGGCCGGCGAAAAGTGCTTCCCTCGGTTCGGCCCGTGCAGGCCGGGCGTGCTACTCGACCCCCCCCCCCCTGGTCTTTTCCCCGGCGGAGCCCCAGCCCCCGCCGTGCTGCTCGCGCGCCGGTGCTGCGCCTTCGCGACCTTCCGGTAGGCTCGGTAGACCTCTAGCTCTCGGTTGGCGCTGAGGCGGCCGGTGATGGTGAACGCTCCGTACACATTGTTCCCCTGCCCCTCCACGTTCCAGCCGCCCTCCGAGTTCTTGACGAACGCGATGTGGAGGTCCTTTTCCTCCACCTTGGACACCGGCTTGGGCGGTTGTCGCACCAAGAAGTGCCCCTGGTATTTCCCGGTGTGCGGAAATCGTACCACCCCCGTCCCCGCGCCGCCCCCTTCCACCATCCTGAACTCGAACGGGCTCGCGCGGTTCTTATCGGCAGCCTGCAGGTCCGCCTTGTTCATCGCCCAGTTGCCCGCGCACCGGTGCACTCCTGTCTTCTCGTCGACCTTGAAGAACCCCACCATGCAGGGCATCGATCCGGTCGGTAGCGGCAACGGCGGCGGCAGAGGAGGCCCGCCGCCACCCCAGGCCGGCGACGATCGATCCGGAACGAAGTGCGCGGCAGACAACGCGCGTTCCACGTCCGCCTCGCTGCACTTTTGCGGCAAGCTTCGCCCCTGCGGCGCGCGGAACACCATCAATGGAGTGGAGTGCCTCCCCGCGGACCCTCCTCCGCTTCTCCCCGCCCCGGCCGCCGATTCACCCGCCCCGACAGCCGCCGCCGCCGCCGCCGCCGCCGTACCCCGTTCCTCCGCCTTCGGCAACAACTGCTGCTGGGAAGGGACGGGCGACTTGGACGGTGGCGAGGCGCGAGCGGGACGGGGCGTCGGTGAACTCCTCGTAGCGGACGCGAGCGCCGCCGCTAGCGCCGCCGTGGCGGCATCCGAAGCTCGAGCCGCGTGCTCGTCCACCTCTTGCCGTGGGGAAGAAGAAGCCGCTGGAGACGAGGAGGCGTTACGCGCCGCCACCGCCGCCGCCGGGGCCGGAGCCGGGGCCGCGGCGGGAGAAGCAACGGTGGTGAGAGCGGCGGCAGCGGCAGCGGCGGCCATAGCGGCAGCAGCGGCGGCAGCGGGACTGTGGCCACCGTTGCTCTCCACCGGCCCATTCCCATTCACTGCCGCCGTCGTCTCCTTGGTCGCGCTAGATTCTGCTGTTGTCGCCTTCTCCTTCGATTTTGCGCCCCCCTCCTTTGCTGCAAGCTCTTCCTTCGCCCCCTCCTCCTTTGCAAGCTCCTCCTTTGCCTCTGACCCCTCCACCTCCACCTCCGGCTCCTCTCTCTTCGATTCTCCCCCGTCCTCCTTCGGCGGTTCTTTGTCCTTGACGGTTGCCTCCGCCGCCGGCTTTTCTCCACCAGCTTCCTCCGTACTCAACGCCTCCTTTGGCCCCTCCTGCTCCTGCTCCCTGCTCCCACCCCCCTCCGCCTCTCCCTCCACAGCTACTGGTGTGCTCGGTTTGGAAACGGTAGAACCTCCCCTCCCCTGATCCTCCTCCTCCTTCTCCTCCTCGTCATCTTCCGAGTCCGAGCTTGTCCCAGCCGCCACCTCCGAAGCTTCCTCCTCCCCCTGCCCCGCCGCGTCGACTTCCCCCGCGGACGCCGGTACCCGATCCGCCCCGTTAGAGGCCACGGCCGCGGAGGCGTTGTTCGTGGTGCTGTGGTTTGCCGCCGTGACCGCGGAAGCTGCTGCTGCTGCTGCGGATGGCGAGCTAACCGCTGTGGTGCCGTTTGACGCACTGGGGGCGGTGGTAGCGCCTTCTACCATGCCGAAGCTGCCGGTAGCGAGCGATAGAGGAACGGGTTGATTTCTTTCAGGCAAGGAGATCACCAACCCATGTGTGTGTGTGTGCGTGTTTGGATGCAGAGGTAAGGTAACGAGCACCACCACGTTAGGTACATAGCCGATCAGAAGGCGCTGGCGGTAACGGCTATCATAAGCGTCGCATGGCTGCTGTTTTTTAAAAAGGCACCCGGCTGCTGTTTTCAGTTTTCAAAAAACAGGCGAAGGAACCGATGGTATGTGGGGGGAAGGAGCGCGAAACGTCCGAAAAGTACAACGTGCTCGCTGGTATTGTGTGCTTGATCAAACCAATGAGGCAGTCTTCTGTAGCGAAGGGCGTGAAAACTGACGAGATAAGATATGTCGGGAGATCGCGGGAGGCGACAGCAGTAGCAGAGTACGGCGAGTGCTTTTCTTGGCTCTCTTTTTTGAAAGGAGGAAACCGACTCATGGCGCTCGGCTGGCAAAAATCAGTGAAGCCGAGAATTTGTGCGAGACGCACCGGCTGCTAGCCCGTCGTGTCTAGGACAGCAGTGAACCAACGCCCACGCCAACGAGACAAGCACTCTTAATATTGATGGACAAGGATGAGTCAACCACGGAGGTGGTAAATAAACCGTTGCCATCGCAGTGTCACGTGTTGCCGCCAGCCTACGGTTCTCGCGCTCACTGCTGTGTGTGTCTCTCTCTGCGCCTCAAGAGAGGTCAACACTCAACAAGGAACCGCTCCGCGTCGCCCAAAAAAACAGACGAGACACAAAACACCGTGCAAAAAGCACGCAGACAAAAGGAAAACAGAGGCCAGCTTGGGCGCTTCCGCGCGTGAGCTGGATGGATGGCAGAGTACCAGGCGCTGGGCTCACCTCTTCGCCTTTAGTGGCGATTCAGTTGAGGAATTGGCTACGGGAGTCGACGCCGACAAGTCGGCGGTCATCTTATGCGTCCCGAGTCCCCAAGCTGAGGTCGCCGCCATCACCAGCGCACGCCCCACACCGACCAGGAAGAGACAAAAGTGCTCGCCGCTCTAGACGGTGTCAAGCGAGAGTCGATCAATCCGATGACACGGCCGGTCCTTCGTTCCGAACCAGGGTGTCTCCCGCGTTCCCTCTGCACCGGGGGGGATCAACGCGCCTCGAGCCGAGAGACCCAAGTTTTCGTGGCGCTCTCCGCTCTGGTCGAAAAACAACCCCAAAATCAAAGTGACTGACAAAATGAACAGGAGATTTCGGCCCCACTCTCTCAGAAACGCTCCGAACTGCCCCCGATGAGTCTTGACTCGAAAATGAAGGCGCCTCGCCGCAAAAATAATAGAAACGGGCCGATCCGCAACAGCGGGGACACAGGAGAAGTCCTCCGGATCACGGGCGTCGAGCGCTCTCGGTAGCCGTCGCCGCAGCAGGCCCACACGCTTCCCGGGCGTCACGCCACGCTTTTCTTTTTTTTTTTTTCCTCCTCCCGGGGAATTATTCCCGCCTACTCTCAAATGAAGATGTTTTTTCCAAACGGGGGGGATGAATGGATGAATGAAAGCGTGTGTGGCTCGTTGTTGTACAGTCGTTGTGTCTTTTTCTTGATTTTCGGTTCTTTAAATCTAGTGCTGCGTCAGATTTGATTGGCGCGAACTTCTAACTTGGGTGGTATGTGTCACGCGAGAGGTAGAGGTTTACCCCCTTCGCTACCTGCCGCGCGCTCACGCACGTGGGAGAATACAGGAGTTGAGTGAGAGAGCTCTACCGCATGTCCCTTGGTTGGGTCTTCCACGGCCGTGTTTCCTTGCTTCCAGCGCCGAGGACGCCTGCATCTTCACGCGGTGGTTTCGCCACCTTTTTTTTTTTTATCATAAATCATGGATTTTTTCTGTCCTCCAACTTCAAGTTCCGAGGCGGAACTTCGGCACACGGCCAGAGGGAGCAATCAGCAGGACTTTTACGCTACGTCCCGTTTCGTGCTTGTTGTACAGTAGTCATAGCACATGGGGTCGCACTCTACGCGGGCAATACACCGGCACATGCTGCTGCTATTTCGATCTCTACACCCAAACCATTCCCCCACATATACGATTCTTCCTGGTGGTAGAACGCATACGTCATTGGTACACGTGTCGCACACACACGCCTCCTCCGTGGTGGCGCATCTGAAAAAAAACTCAGCAAGTAGGTGCTGCTCCCGCTGTGGCCTTCTCCGCCCACAAGAGAACATCAGCGAGAGGAATGGGGGGTGTCCAGAAGAGCGCCCTTTTTGCCTCAAAGGGCAATTAGTTCATGGTGATACGTGCTGCTATAACTTGGAAGCATTGTTTTTCCTCTCTCTGTGGTTCAAGTTTTATTGTGGATTGTTGTTGTTGTTGTTGTTATGTTGTGTGGATGGATGATGATGGAGCCTGTAGACTATTATTTATTGGAGACCTCTCTGCCTCCGGGGATCATGGTCCAAAGACAAGTTTTAAGGTTGAAACCGTATTTATCCATACGCACAGAGTGGTGATGGTCGCAATTTTTTCATTTTCTGATCACACCTACTATAATACCACGCACCTCACATTTTTGCTCAATGAAAACATCGGCTAATGCTTGTCATCATCGAACGAACGCTTCAACCACAGAATGCGCCGCCACCCCTTCATTACGAACTTGAAGGTTTAGACAATGAAAAGAGATAACAACTCTCACCCCACGCCCACACCTGAAACCTACATCCTCTGTTGGTTCCTGCTCCGAGGATATAATAAGCTGCGAGGGTTGCCCAAAACAAGAGCGAGCATATTCTTCACTACTAAGTGACGCGGTGTTTGGCGGTTTCGCTTTATGGCAAGGATGCCGTGGCTAACATGCCGTGACTAACATCAGAAGACTTCAGCGCGAGGGGGGCATCAAAGCTGGCTAGTTAAAAACAAACGGCCTCTCACGTTTTCAACATCCTATTGCTTCAACAAGTCGTATTGGGCTTGCCCATCAACTCGTCATGACCAACAACAATCCACTAAATGTAGCGCCTCTCTCACTTCCCGTTGGCAGCAATGCGGACGACAATCATTTACACGGCGACATGCTGTGTGATGGGAGACTACAGCACGCACAAACAAAACCAAAGTACCGTTACACGAATTCGCACGACAACAAGCTGAACCTCAAACCATGAAGCAAACATTCTCCACCGCCACGCACGTCTAACGAACAACCACATCAACTAGCCTTTCCTCGTCCACCGACAATGGGCGAGCTCAACACCGCGTACCCCGTGGCCACGCCACCCTCGTCTGTGCCCTCCATCTTGGTCCTGACCAAGTACCCCGCGTACTCGTTCAGCAACTCCTTGCCCTCCCCGCCGCCCAGGTACGTGCCGTACACCCCTAGCTCGCTGATCGAATCCCCGGACACACACTTCCCGCGGTTCACCATAACGGCGGGCTGCGTCTTGGGGAAGATCCGCTGCATCAGGACGAAGCTGCGCAGCTCGTCGTCCGTGGCGCCGCCGGCGTCCAGCTTGCTCTTGAGCTCCGGCCCGTAGAGGTTGTTGCCCCCGCCCTCCCGCTGCGGCTTCAGCACGTACCGGTCCGGGTGGGCCACCGCGTCCGCCGTCGCGGCGGCGTCGCCGTCCGGCCCGACCGAGTACAAGCCTGCGAAGCAGCGCCGAACCGCGGCGCTCTCGCTTGCCCCGAGGAACCGCTCCACCTGGTACACGATGATGTCAAGCACGGAGACCAAAGAAGCGGAATGCGATTCGGGCCCGTCAATTGTGTCCATTGGGGGGGCGTGCATGTTGTCGTGGCCACAGAGACGGGAACTAAAACGGGTGCGAATACCGTATATAGGTCGCATGAGAGAGCACACCCCATGGACTGGATTTCAAAGTTTGATTACTCCACGACGAAGAGGATGCCAAATCGCTTGATGCGTTTTTTGGAAGCTCTCGACGAAACGGTTCCAACGCCGCTGCCATTGTCCGCACCGTCAATATTTTTCGTGCGGAGTAATCGAACTTTGACAATCGGTCGATGGGGTGAGCATATGAGCATCCTATGCGATCTATGATAGTTCAGCATAACCCAGTAGGAGGAACAAGTGTGCGTTAGGTACGATTAGTGTTGCCGCCACACCCAGCACCCAGCCACCCCCAACCCTAGTCGCTTGAGCTTGAACTCCAAGACATGCCGTGCTCTTCCTCTGGAAGTAGCGTCCGCGAGCGATAGTCATGGCCTCCACATAGCAGGACGCCTCCGCATACAACACATAACTACCGGCATCAATTTGTCTAAATGATGTTCTCCACCGAATGTCGGGCCCAACCGCTGCCGAGCACAACTTTTCAACCAACACCCGTACGCAAAGCCGCTGTCTCTCCTTGCTCTAGACGAATAACCTCACCTGCCCCTCCTGCGCCAGCACTTGCTGCACTTTCTTCGTGCCGGCCAGGTGGTACCCTATGCTCGGGCTCTTGATCGCCGTCGATCGTTCCAGCTTCAACCGAGCGTCCCACTCCGCCCGCCCGAAGTAGTCGTTGGGAGCGTACCCCGCCCGGAAGTAAACCACCGCTATCTCGACGGCGCCGCCGTCGACCGTCAACGTCCCGTCCTCGCCCAAGACACCGCTGGCTTCGATCTAGGATACGGATCGCGAGATGTGCACACGCCGCACCGCCATGCGATTTTATACAGAGGCAATCGGGTTGTGCGATGGAAAGCTCCGGTGATGGCACAGAACTGGCCGTCAAGAAAATCACAGCCATCCTCAGCGTGTCCGCACGCCGCCTGGACCGGAATACCCTAACCTCAGGTGCTGGCTACATAATTTCCTTGGAATCTTTGTGTACATATACCGGCTACGGGGTATTGGCAATGTTTCGTTGAGGAATTACTTCACGAGGGCGTGCTTGAAAGTCCGCAAGAGGCTCCGAACACACCCAGAACCAATCGAATCGAAGGGTCTGCCTACACGCATACAACACCCAGCCCGTGTCGGCCCGCAATCAAATGTCTACGATTCCCGCCGTGCTATTCACACATGCGTCTTTCGAGCGCACAATGATACCTACTAGCGCTACCGTGGGCTACTTCGCACCTAGTAAAAGTAGCAAAAACAATTATCATCACCGGCAACATTGCCATCTCCCACCAACGCCTTCGATCGGTGCCGACATCATGGTCACCCGTCACCCCAGACCACCTCCAACAACACTTGCCGCCACGTTTTCATTCACGGCACGCACCAATACCACCAACCTTTCCTTGATGTGTATCGACTGTCTCTGATTCCCCGGGGGGCCCGTCTCACCTCTGCGAGCGACATGCGCACCACGCGCACGCCGTGATGGTCCCAGAGGTTCATCTCCAACAGCCTCTGGTCCACCGCGTTCGTCTCCCCGGGCTGCACCACGAACAGCACCACCGCGTCCGGCTTACCATAGCACTTGTGCGCCTCGGCTAGCGCCTTGGGCAGCGCCGTCAGGGTCGGGTTCTGGGGGATCAGCTCCCCCAGCCCACCGTCTCCGGCGGCCGTGGTAGTAGTTGTGTCGATCCCGACAGAGGCAGCGTGGTCTCTGATGGCCTTCCCTGCGCTGGAGGGCTCGTCGCCGAAGCGGCTGAGGAGGTGGCGGTGCAGCCTTGCGGTGAGGGCGCTCATGCACCCGAATGAAGAGGCGATTGTGTTAAGCTCAACCTTTTTCCGGGGGGGGGGGGGTCGACAAGGGTGCAAAGGGCGGATCGAACAGCCTCGGTCAGACAGAGATGAGGGGCCGCGCTGACGAGGAGTGAGGAAGCAAGTGTTCATGAATTGCGAGAGTGTCGAGAGGTCGACAGGAGTGTTGACCTCATGGCATTCAGGAGCGTAGGGACACCCCCCCGTCATGTTCGGCATCGAGATTACACGAACGCGTAAAACGCACACCACCACGTTGTGCTGCAACAAACCGTCTTTGTCACGATCAACACGCGGTTTTCTCCACTCAGTTCACCCCTCCGGTGACCTCCAAAGCACAGCAGTAGGCGGAAGACACCTCCTCCAACAAGTGACCAGCTTCTACCTTGCCGCAAATGTTTGATCTGGATAGATATTTTAAAAGTAGCAGTACCAGCCATCGTCCGTGAAACGGGCCTCGTTCTCAACAAAGTACCAGCCCCCCTTCGCTCGCGGACGCGGATCTGTGAAGAGTGCAGTGTTCCACAATACAGTGAGGTTCCTGTTGTTTGAGGCCGGAGATATATGGCCGGTTGCCCTGTATTAAGGCCGGTGAAATCGCTCGGCACATCTGAAATACTCAAGTTGCCTCATATTCTGAGAACAGTGCCGGGTGCCCGCTAATGTAGAAGGCCGTCGTTTGCCCTTCGACCATAGCGGCCTCAAACAGGGACCGCTATTGTGCGGTGCGTTGAACCTTCTGGTCTCTTGAGTGTGGCTTACCTGGAGCAAGTGTGGGGCTGTCACTCCGTCCTCGGGAACGTGCAGCATGTAGTCCGACCGGTTGATTGCAAGGCACACCGGCTGCCGTGGCCCTCCCTCCGCCTCGATGGTCTCGTGGATGCGCACCAGCTCCGAGGTGAAGTCGTCCCCGGCCTGCCGTGTGATTGATACAGGGCGCAACGATTCGTGCAGCCATTGATCGAGTGTGTTGCAAAATCCAGGGCACAACAAAATGCGGTGGATGTATTCCGTTACCCGCAATCGGGCTGAGGAGTGTATCCTAGATGAAAACGCCAACATTTATGGAAACCCTGCGAAAAGTCAATGGTGCCAGCCATCATTGCACACCGAGCCATGTCCCTGACACATGCCGGCAGCATGATGGTCCCGTTAGACGGTACGCGTAGCGCGTGATCGCGGTATCTTGTGATCTTCCTGTCTATACGGTAAACGAAATCTAAACCTCGTGATGCGACCGATACACCTGTGACGCATTTATTTGCGGGTAGGCCTTGTCTCTGTTCGGGACGAGTGTGACTTCAGAAGGTACAAAGGTACTACCATCACGAGAAATGTACGTACCCCGCGGCCCAGCTTTCACGCAATCGGTAGCTTGTACTGCTGTACCACAACAGACGCTACAACACACCAGCGGGGTCTACTCTTGTACCCAAGACGTACAGACAGCGAGACGGGCGTTTTGATCCTCTCTCTTGCCTCCGTCTGTCTCTCCAGGGGGTCTCTTCTCTCGTCCAAAATCGACACTCTCGTACACACAACCACATCAAGTCCAGGATAACGACATGCCACGAGGAGGAGATATCACATGAGGGACACTCACTATTACATAGTACATGCAATGGCTCTGGCGACTCGTCTACCATTGCAAGTACGCTGAACCCTGAGGCTTGAAGGCCGGAACTTTCTTCGAGTATGTACTGCTTTAGTCTCCTCCGCGAACCCCCTCAAACTACCCCGTTCGCCCGTGGACTTCAAGTGTCCCAGGGTTTCTTGTACGGCGAAAACTACATAAGCCTGATGCCGTTCTGTTTGGCATTCGTTCAGCGCAGTAGTAGTAGTGTACATGTACACAGAGTACCCCAGTCGACTCTCTACTTCAACAAACTCACGCACTCACCAGAACATCTTTCAGGACCTCCTTGAGCCACGGCCCGTCGCGGCTGATCCTGTCGACCAGGGTGTTGAACAAAGGAGCAAGGACCTTGGTTTGCTCGTAGGAGTCTGCGGGCAGAGCTGGAAAAAGCGGGGCAACCGCCGTAAACCGTAAACCGTAAACCGCCGGTCAGACTTCAAAGTACATGAACACATGAACAGCAGTGGTTTCGGACAAAAGAGGGCTCGGCAAAGAGCACAGCTGTGGTGATCTTCATCGCACCAAGATAGATAGCAGTAGCACGACACAAAGCACGGCTATCATCTGGGTATTGCAATCGGGTTGAATGGGTGAGGGCCGGCAGTCGCGCTTCAACAGGGTTGTGTGTTCAACCAGTGCATCGTTCGCCTTGAGCATCGAGCGCCGTACATGTATGTGCCTCACCGTAAGGTAGTAGACTGAAGGGCAAGTGCGTGCTGGTGAAGAGGCCCTTGTCGTCGTTGACCACCATACCGAGGCCGTTAGTCGCCGACCAAGCTACCGCGTGCTCCAGCAACGCACGAGGTACACCATCCTCGCCTCCAGACGGGGACGCCATCATCGACCTCGTTCCTGCTCTAGCAGTAGCGCCTCTCGCTGTCGTGGTGGGTGGTTTAGACGCCGCAAGGACCAAGAATCCCTGGGTTCGATGAGAAAGCCACGCAAGCGATAGCAGTGAGGTCAGCAAAGTGGTTCTCATACCGCCCGCGAGAGAGGCGCGCGGCACGTTGCTTGCCGGAGAGCGGGTAGAGAGACGGGACAATTCTCTCACCTCTCACCGAGCAAAATTCTGGAACAAAACGTAGATATCATGCGGCGCGATTAGCAATGATTTAGGAGATCAGTTCAGATGCCGTCATGCCGTGAGTGAGCGTTGCGGGGAACGGTTGGGTCTATTGCAGCACACCCGAGATCTGTTGGGTGGACTTCACGCCAGACCGAGCATGTCGGCATCAAGCGATGAGGTACGGAATCGTGGTGCGTAAGATTACCAAAACAGGATATTGCGGCCTATGCCAGCCTAGGCGGCAAGATTGATCGCCGGATCGAGAGAGAGAAAGGGAGAGAACCCAATCGCAGTATTCCAGCTATATCATACCCAGGAATGTCTCTGACTATTCTCTATGATCATTGGCTTCTCTCATTACAAGCTGAGAGCTGGCGGAAACGAGCGCAAACGTGCAAACGCTGCCGTCAATATTCAATGTATGTTGTGTAAATACTTACTTGGAGTATGTTAACAGCAGTGGGACCCGCGCTGACCATGTAGGAGTTTATTGGTTATCGTACTTCTCAACGATTCATCACCAACTTTGTCACGTATTTCGCCTTGCTGAACACTTTCAGAGCTCGGGAGAGAACAGCAGCAACGACGGAGAGAGCGAGGCGGAATCTGGTTCGAGCTTTAGCTCATCAGACGATGAGAGCGGCTCCGGTAGCTCGTCTAGCGGCAGCAGCAGTTATAGCCGGAGCAGTTCTGGGGAGGACGACGACAACGACAGTAGCAGTGACGCTAGCGGTAGCCCGGGAAGCACCGAGGAGGAAGAGGAGGAGGAAGAAGGAGCTGAAGACGATGAGAAGGTCGGCGCATGTGAAGCTTTTACAGCGTCGATGTAGTCAATGTACTTGTAGTGCTTCGACGTCTACGCATGGCATGCATAGGCTGACCATAAACAGGGGGCGGACAAACCAGAAGCGCCGTCGCTGCGACTGTTTCCTTCTTTCTCTTGTTTCGCGGGAGCGTACCCTGCGGTCATACTGTAGGTGCCGCAACGAATGTTCTAAGACCGCTATGCTTGTACCAAAAAATCGGCCTCTCGGTGTGTCCGAGCCGTGGCGGCAGCAGCTCTCCCGGGGCATTTTGCGGCAAGGGCTGCCCACCAGCGTCTGGTTGATGGTAGTTATGGCCGCAATCTGCTATCCGCGAGATGCTTGGACCTATCGTTGTCCTTGGGTTAAACCAAACTTGGCCGCGAGCGTCAATCATGTTGGTGGGGGCCTCCCATCACCTGTTGCACCGCTGATAAGCTTGATTGCGTAAACTGCGTTGTCGAACCTTCAGGAGAGGCGGCTGGCCAGGAAGCGAGAAGACTTCGAGAAGATGAAGGAACTCTCTACCCATATGGACAACGTCGTGCAACGCCTGGCCACCTATTTTCCCCTAGACGGCACAGAAGGAGAACCGAAAACAGACGTTGTTCCCCCTTCTGCTGCGCCCGAGTTGCCCCCACTACCACTGCCGTCACCTGATAATGCAAGGGATCGGTACGTTTCTGCGAGAGTCTTGACGATGGACCGGGCTGTGTCGGCAAGGCGACTGATGAACGACCGGGCTACTTCTGTTGCCAGCGGCCTGCACTTCGACGACGAGCTCTCAGGTGCCACTGCTGAATAGGTTGGACTCCGGCGTGCATTTTATCCTAAGAATATCTAAATAGCAGATTCTTGTGAAGAAAAACTGTAGCAGCCTGAGCTTCTGTGTTTTGCTTTTACCCCGGCCTTTCCCACCATGCTGAATGCCCTACGCTCTGAAACGACAAAGGGTGGCCGCTACCTCTCATGATTGGCGACACAGTGAAAAATAGCTCCCCACGCAACGTCAGTGCTCTGCCGTTTCAGCGTGCCTATTTGCTTACGGTATGGTATACGATGTTTCTCTACCCGAAGTTGCGTATATAGCAATCCCTGAAGACCCTGATGAAGACTCGCTGTATGTTGGCCTCACTTGCTCGATGAAAACCTTTCCCAAAAACCGTATAACTTGAGGGTTCTATGTAAAGAAGGAATCGCCCTCAACCTTAGGGTTAGTCCATCTGTCACCCACTTTCCTCCGACGCTACAACTTCCCATGTTCACATCTTCCTTCGGTTGACCCCAGGCTCGACAGCATCATACGGCAGGCATGGGGAGGATGAACAGCACGCGGAGCGTCGGGGCGCGGGGGGGCGTGGGCAACGGGGTACGAGCAGGAGACAGAGCCAGAGCCGTGCAGACTCGGATAGGCGGGGGATGGATACGGACGAGCCTGCGGGGAGTCGAAAACACGAAGCAGAAGGACCGGACGCTGCAGAACACCGGAAGGGGACAACAAGCTCCTGGTCTAGGAAGGATAGAAGTGCCAGCGTTGTCGATAAGGGGCTAGGGCTCAAACTAGAGTCGAGCGGAGGGGAGATGAGGTCCCGGCCTCCTCCAGGCAGAGCAGGTGCAAACTTGGGCTTTGAAGATTCGCACGAGCGTCTTCTGTGGGATGAACTCCGCGAGACCTTGGAAGGGGTCGCCGGAAGCGATGCTGTGCCGCCGGCGTGGGGACATGGTGCTGCGGTTGAGAAAGCACGAGCGGACAGGGCTCACGAGGAGCAGCGGCGGCGACTCATAGATGAAGCTATTGCTGTTTTGCTAGAGGGTAGTAGTAGTAGCAGCGACAGCAGCAGCGAGGACGAGAGAATAGACAACGGCGACGGTTGACGCTCTGCAGCGGACGGAGTGAAACAGCTTCATATTCTTTGAGCAAGCTACATGCACTTGCGTATCCTCTGCGGTCCTGTGTTTACAGAGCGCGCCACCACTCAAGAAGCTGGGCCGTTGGGACTGTAGGGTAACCCCCCCCCCCGAGAATGTATGAACTCGGGGGTGCTCAATGCTCGGTTAAGAGTCCTATAGAAATAGTACCTACGTTGTCCCCGCTATGTTTACCCCACAGAGATACCGGAGTAAGATATGTTTGACTACTACTGCTGTACATAGCCTCAGGAGGAAAACAATAGGTTGAGGTGAGCGCGTTCTGTAGGCGAGGTGAGCGCGATCAACTGTCCTTCTAGTCCAAGGAGAAGTCAATCTATTTCAGGTTCAGAAACGTATGCCACCTGCCATTAACCACCACATTTGCAATAGCGACTGCTGGCAGCATCCGCTCGTATGTACAGCAGTAGCACCAGCTCGCTCGTACCTGAAAGGCAGCGTCGTATGTACAGTAGCATTAGCTCGGTCAGAGAAAACCTACCGCGATCGGCGTATCTACTGCTGCTGTCGAGGTACATATGTCGAATCAACAACCTACTAATCGGTCGAGGATCCAGTACTTACAGCAGCAGCTGCGATGTGCGATCCCTGCGCAGTGTTATCTTTACAATTTCCCCCGGAGACAGATGTGTATATTATTTGTTCATGCCTACAGAAGAACCAAGGGGTGTTCCTCACAGGAGTCAGTCCGTGGAGGCATGCGGTGACCGACGGATGGATATATGCGAAACAACTGGAAATATCTTGCTGGTGTTGGTCGTGACGGCGTGGACGGTGTGGAGAATACAGCAGCAGTATCCATGATTCGCCACCGATTGCATCAGCTCAGCACGCAGCATCCTGCTTGAGAAGTGTGTGCAGGAAGTAGCGAGTGGGAGTGTGGATTCCACCTCAGTCCACATGTCCAACAATTGAGGTTCATCCACATGACACTCCGTGAGTCCTTCAACCATCCCGGGTCTGTCCAGCACGGGTGAAAAAGGGTTCGAACGAAACACCCCGCCTCTTTTTCTGGCGCGCGTCATGTTTCGCGCCGCAAGATCTTTCTTTTTTTTTTTGGTGTAGCTCACAGCAGCAGCGTGTAGTCTTACGCCCCCCGCGAAGCATCCCCTTGTCCCACAAACAGCCAGCAGCGAGTCTACACTCTACCCATCTACACTACTACCATCATGCTTTCATCCCTCAGAATTTCCGCAAGAAGAGCTGCTGCTGCGGCCCCTTCAGCCGGCAACAAATTACACAAAGGGGTCGTAGCATCATCATCAGCTGGGAGCAGCGGCAGCATCATAGAACAAACCGCGTGCCGAGCGTTCGCTACCGTACCAGGACCCCGCCTGTTCGACTACGACACGGTGACCTCCGTGCTGAAGCAGAGCGATGCCGTGGAGGCGGTCGAGGCCGCGTTCGGGATGCTCGCGAAGGGGAAGGTCGACGTGCCCATCCCGATGCACATCGGCATCGACGAGTCCGAGAAGGCCGGACCGGGAGACTGCCACATCAAGGGCGGCTACATCTCGGGCACCTCGACGTGGACCGTCAAGCTAGCGAACGTGTCGTTCTACAAGAATGTGGAGAAGGTGGGTACAGCAGTGTGCCTCCGAGCACATGGTCTTGTCCCTGTTTTGCTCACCTCTGTCTGTAGAATGGGAGATGAGACGCATAATTTACGTCTGCGTTTTCTGGGGCACGCACGCACACAAAATGTTCCTCAAGTCGGCGAGTTGCACTTGGTAGATAGCACGCAACGCTTTCGGCCGGCTGAAGCAGTTCCGCTCATCCACCCGTGTCGTTGTGCGGAAAAAGTGTGGAGTAACCCAGCACGGCTTTGCAGGTGGCAGTTCGAGCGTCAGTCCATTCTCTCTAGACTAATTTTGCCTAAATGGAGCCGGCTGCTCTCTCATCATGATCTCCGATCTGTACGCTAAACTCGCCGCATTCCTGATGCCTCGGTCCAGCTGCCTCACGAATCGGTGCTATTTAGCGCTCCGTGAAGTGCACGTCACACCTCGCTGACACAGCTGGCCACCTGGCACGTAAACAAGAGTGGGGAGCGAAAACAAACGATGAATTTTGACGGAACAGCTGCCAGCTGTCTCTCAAGTGTTGATTCGGATGATATCATACGTGAAGTCGGAGGCCTTGTTTTTTTTCCCCGTCATGATCCAATTCCCTCGACGTTTGTTATGCATGCTGCGGTGTTCGTGTGCTATGTAAGGCTGTACCTTACTCCTGCCGTTTGACCCCGGCTGGAACGTCAAACTTATACCTGGAGGTGTACTGTAAAATGACACCCAGAATAGATGGAACGAGAAACGAGAAAAACAGCCAAACAATATGTAACATATGTAAGAACCCGGCGGTCGGTTCCCAGTGTCGGTGTGTCACCATGCACGACCAACCGCCGCCTCTCTCACCGAAGAGCTCCAATTCGGGATAACAGAAAACAGGAGAAATCCGCCGCTCCGGCCTTTGGATAAGATTTGAAAGTCTTTGTTTTCTTGCTAGAAGTATTGCACAAAGCGTCGGCGGAGGCTACCTATACGTCCACGATTGATTTCCCGTGTATCTTTGTTTTTTCGGTCCGTCTTTCTAGATTCCGCTGTTCGGAAATTCACCCGACGGGCCGGTGTCAGCCAAAAAAAACATGCGACATCGTGTGCGTATGAAAGCTGCTGTTGTTGTCCCAGCGGGTTGTGTTGGGTGGATGTAAAGCAAACAAACAGACCCGTTTCGATATTCATTTTTTCCTTGACAACACGACGAATCCTCATCTCTCCACAGAGAGACGTATCTCTCCACAGATAGATGAGAGTCCAGCATATTTAGCAATAAACCCGTTGTCGGGTAGCGGGTGCATTGCGTCAAAGGCTGTGGAGAAAAGGGTGACTCAAGACCGTGAGATTAACGAGATTAACAAGTGCACAGGACATGCTTGCCCATGCAAGGCAGAAGGTGGATCGCCCTTCCACAAATGCACACCAACATGATACACGAACACCCCAGATCCCCGTAGATCCGTCTCTAGTGCTGAATACACCTGGCACCCATATCGTAAGCGGAGGCTACGGTTTTTCTACGATTCCCCGAGGAGCACACAGCGATATTTCGACTATTTCCATATTGTAACACGGATCGCCCTGGTTCAGCTGGTATTGGCTGATGGTGACCTTGTTCATTAAAACCCAGACCCGAATACCACGTAGACGTAAAACGAAAGTAAGCATACAGGTCTGAAAAAGGCTTGTACTACAAGTGCTTGACTCATACTTTGTTTTCCCACCCTCACCCACCCACCTAATCCCGCTATATCTCAACATTTCAACAGGGCCTTCCCGCCGGATCGGGCATCTTCGTCGTCTGCGACGCTACCAACGGCGCTCCCCTCGCCATCTTCCAGGTATTTGTGGACGCCGTAACATAGCGTTTACCTCTCCTTACAACGGCGAGCGACGCGCGTCGCAATTTCACCCAAACCTGGGGCAGCTAGGGGATTGATGGCCCTCACCCCCGTTACGGTACCAGTTGTCTCTGCGAGGTACACGTAAGCCCTCCCGTTAAAATTCACATACTTGTAGGGCGTTTCCGGCAACGATTGTCACCGCTTTCTTCACGTCGCAACCCCGCAACAACAACAACACGTGTTCACAAGAGTGCGGGCGCGTAGATTGCTGAGACAGATTCTTGGCCGTGAACGATCGGGGACAGAGAGAGAGGGGAGGGGGACTGACAGAGAGAGAGAGAGGGGAGGTACAATTCGATTTCTTGCCCCGTCGGGAGCACCGTGGCCCATCTCTGCTGAGACTGACGTCCGTCCATTCGTCGAGAGCTACATATGAGGCACACTCCTTGTCCGGGGGGCCCACGGACGTGCACGATCTCGACATATGGTGTCCGTCTTTGACTACTGTCGTGCCATTGGCCAGCCCGTCAGTACGATGCACACAACCTCCCATTGATAATACCTCCCCCAACAACGCACGCACGCACGCACACACAGGAGAACCGGTTCCTGACCGACCTGCGGACCGGCGCCGCGGGGGCGGTGTCCGTCAAGCACTTCGCGGCCCGTCACCACAAGAAGGTCGGCTTCGTGGGCGCCGGCGTCATCGCCGCGGCGATGGCGCGGGGCTCCAAGTGCGTGCACGAGTTCGACGAGGGCTTCGCGTACGGGCTGGACGTGGTGAAGACGAAGGAGTGGGCCGACGAAATCGAGGCGGAGCTGGGGTACAAGGTGCACGTCTGCAAGACGGCGGAGGAGTGCGTGCGCCAGTCGGACGTGGTCTTTACCCAGACTCCAGGGTCCGAGACGGTGCGCCGAGTAGGGGGTGCGCCCGGGTAGAACTGGTTCGGGTTGGGGTTGGGGTTGGGGTTGGGGGCGTCAGGGTGAGGGGGCGCATGAGCCGTTCCGAGAGAGAGAGGGTCTGGCTTCAAATGTGTCCGATTCGCGTGTCACGCTGGTTGCGACAGGATTTGGCCCCGCTTTGTCAGCGAGGTGTTTCAAGCGGCCCGTGCGCTTGCTAAATAGTTAAGACTAGCGGACAGACGTGCTCGCACATGTTGGCCTAGTGTCCGCTTGACGATATGACACACCAGCTACTGTAGATGGATTCTCTGTTCATGTTGAAGCTTATTCAAGCGGCGAACACCAATGTAGCCATGTACTTTCCGACCAAAACTAACAGGCGGTTGAGCTGGACTGGTTGCGACGAGATGATGCGCCAGTGGATGGGGTTTCTCTGTTCATGTTCAGGCTTAGTCAATCGGCGAATATCAGTCGTGTGACGATGTCTAGACGTTCCGACCAACGATGACAGGTGGTTGAGCTGGACTGGTTGCGACCGCACGCGACCATCATCGCGAGCGGATCAGACCAGCCCACCAAGAACGAGATCCCGGCTGAGGTGTGTTGTATGTTGTGTGTTGTGCTTACAGTCGTGGCTCCGATGTGAGAGGGTACCTTATAAGAGGGGGCTCCGATACAAGAGGGTCCAAATCGGTTGTCAAGGACTCGACCCTCTATAGTATAGTTGAGTACTCTCTTATTCCGGTATAAGAGGGGGCTCCGATATAAGAGGGTCGAGGGCCTTTGTCACAACACCCTCTTATATCGGAGCCACGACTGTATCCCCGAACATGTGTTCCAAGTGCCCTGTTGGTGGTGCAGTGTTGCGACCGTCACGACTTGTGTGTGGATTGATTCCGTTTGTGTAGTTCCCGTCTGTTTTCAGCCCGCCCCGCGGTTAGCAGGCTCGCACGCGGGTTGCGTTTCGGGAGCACCGCGGAGAAACGGGTAATTGAGACCCGGTTGTCCAATGGAAAACGCTGAAATAGACGACGGATTATCTCGCGGTCAAATCATGTACACAATGAGAAGGTTTTCTAAATAGGAGGCCAACCTTTGGCGTTGAGAAACATGGGGTTGAGAATTTGCGGCGGGCAGTAGGCATGTCGGGGATTGCCGTGATTGGTTGTTTGGTACACGCCAGGACGAAGGAAAAGCCGATTAAAAACACTGCTGTCGCTCTGTATCTGATTGCACTGGTTGAATCCACGGAGATGGCGATCAAGCCCTTGTGCCATGATACTCTTTTTCATTGAAACAGCACGCCCACGCTGTATTGTTCGGGACTGTCTGGATAATTTCGTTGCAAAATGTTTTGCCTGCCGTCATCGTTTGCCGTTTGCCTAGGGACACCACTACTGCTGTTTACCTGTTGCACTTTCACACAAGTGTCTCGCCGCCCCCCTCCCCTCCCCTCCCCTCCCCTCCCCTCCCCTCCCCTCTCCTATCCGTGTTGTCATCCGCTGTTCCAAAAAACCAGGTACAGAAGGCGAGCAAGATGGTGTGCGACCTGGTAAGGCAGTGCGAGCAGGTCGGGGAGCTGCGCAGCGCCATCAAGGCCGGGGTCATGACGAGGGACGACGTCTACGCGGAGATCGGGGACGTTGTGAACGGCGACAAGCCCGGCAGGACCGGGGAGGAGCTTATCCTTGTCGACCTTACCGGTACAGGTGCTCAGGACGCCGCAATCGGGCAGGTGGCTTGGGACATTCTTTCCAAGCACTAGAAGCGATTGGACGTCGAACCTCTACAGCAGTACGAAACTATAACGCATATTGACGAGTGTAGAAGACGAAGCGTTTTTTTTTGTGTGTTCACCTGACGTCATGCCTAAGTTGGTGAGGGCGCGTAAGGTAATTGATTTCGTCAAACTCTTTGTTCCGAGGGCGTTTGGACAGGTTACTGCGATGACTTGGGTTGCGGTTTACGAGTCCCTCCTCACAAATCGGCGAAGGTCAAGCGTGATGGCTGACGGGGAGTGTTGTACATATTTTGCTTCGAGGAGATGTAAGTGGACGTTGTCTGATCGTAAGGGAAAAAGTCTCGAGAGAAAGAAAAGCGGGGTGGATGATGGTCTTGCATAGGGTCAGAAGTGCTTCCTCTTGCGCACTTACTTGTGGTTTTGTCGGTCTCATCGACGTAAGCACGGAGGCTTTGGGTGGTTAGCGGTCCGGGTGGGCGACGTAAGCTTTTTTTTGTTTTTTTGCTTCCATCGTGCCGCGATTGCTGCCCAACCGGTCGCTCTGCGGCAGCGAGTCGTTTCGACCGTTAGTGATGTATATCGGACAGGAAGATCGGTTTAGACGCGCTCAAACCACGACCTACGGGAGTTGGACATACCGCGGTTGGTATGCATATATACCCGGTAGACAAGACAAGCCCTATAGCCATCCCCGGTGACGATTGACTGTTGTTGCGCTAAGGGGTCTAAATCCTGTACGAGCGAGTGTGTTGGTGTAAATAAAGTGTTCAAGCGTTTTAGCTCCGACCTAACGGGCTGCATGAACACAAGTTTGGTCATGAAAATGGTCGCTGCCGTGAGGTCTACACGTTTTGGGGGCTGCCATCTCACATACGGTGTCTGTTCGCACGCACAGCATGATAGACAGCGACCCTGCCAAGCGGTGAGATAGGCAGCACTCATGTCGCTCTCACGCCAAGCCAAAACATGCATCGTGTGGTTATTGTGCAAGGATTTACATCTTGAAATAGCCTTTGCGGTGGTTTCGCTGCGGCGTGAGGCCGCTCGCTCGCTCGTTGCCGAGTCGTTCCCGGTCGGTTCTACTTTGCGTCGGGAAGTCTGACATGGTAGTATGCGTCAAATCATGCCCGCCTTCTTCGCGTACAGCTCAAGACGGTTATTGCCCGAAACCGTCCCAGCTTGATGTGCATCGCTTTAGTAATTCCCGTGAGGTTTGTTGTTGCGGGGTACCTGTGTTATTCTGGCCTAATCTCGCCTTGCTGTTGAAAACGCTGCGGATTGCTTCTCACGCGAAGGACTTTTGGGTCTTCAGGTTCCTTGCCCGCCTTTGTGTGGTGTCCGCTAGCACCACGGAACGGATCCTCCGTAGCATCCGGTTTTCATCATGACGAAGAGATACGGGTGGGTTCCAAATCCCGGTGATGCATACTTGTATTGTTGTCGGAACTCGCCATGATGTTCCGTGGAACTCAAGCATTCGGACTCAAGCAAAACCGCGAATTTGGGACACATTTCAAAATTATCGCACGTTTTCAACATGTTGAAACCTCCTCAGCCAACCAGGCATGCTAGATTAGTAATGTTTTTCCGAAGCAGAACCGCAACACACACAGCCAACAAAATTCCAAAAACCAATGTAAAAGGACAAAACATCCAAGACAATGTACATAATATCCATGTACCACTGTTGTTCCGTTCATCCCACCCCTGTAGTACAGCCGGGTAAAAGAGCGTTGTTTAACACCCTCCTTGCGAAAAAAAGGACTCCACACAACAGAAACATGAAGTAAACCTTGGAATGTCTGGAAGTTTGACGAGCTTGATGACTACTCTGTGGAAGCAACAAAAACCTACATGGGGGATAAATTTGAGAGGAATCCGATGGGGGCTGGTACACGTACCCTCATTTACCGCCCACAGCCTCTAGGGTTCACGGTGCCTCCTCTGAGCTGCACTTGCCCACTGATCTCCTTCCTGGGTTTACTCGTAATTTACTCTACTACACATCTCTTTGGTCAAAACTCTCTTGAGACCTGAGCTGTAGAAGGACTCGAGCCGCAGAACTCGTTCGGTAATGACCATCTTCTAGAAGTGCGTTCCTCAACGGTCTCAAAAACAATATCTAGACTAAAGCAAGAGCCTGACAGCATATGATCATGAATCCGAGCGGTCATCTTCAGCACCCCCATCAGTATCAGCAGCAATAGCAGCAGCTGCAGCCTTGGAGCCTGTCGCCGGGGGAAGATCATCGATGATAACGTTCCAGCTCGCCCAGCACACGGCAGTCATGCTGAGCGTGGGGACAACACCCGTGAGCGAAAAAAGACGGTCAGTGGGAGAGAGAGACAGCGAATTGCGGTGAAATCCAGCAATTATCCAGCAATTTCAATACGAACGGTTCCCTCTTGCATCGAGCCAAGGGAAGGCCAATTACGGAGCAGGCAGCTCCACCCCAGAAGGGAAGGTGACTCATGAGCCACGCGTCCCAAGTAGAAAACGCCCCCCCATAGATAAGAGACGTCCTGTATGGACGGAAACATGCCAACACCCCGGAGCGTACTCACGGCAGAAGGAAACAATGTTCGGGTGGAATCAAACAACTACGAGTACAGCGCACAGCCAACCAGGCCTACGCCCGATTCCGCAGGCGATGAGGAACTACAACTGCCGTAGCAGTTAGAGGTCACAGCATGAGAAGCACCTGCAGCAGCAACACTGACAAGGAAATGGCATCTCCTCCTCCTCCTCCCCCCCTTGCAACTACAAGAAGGGCAAACATGTTCAAGAAAGGGAGGACCACGTACATACATTTTCCTCCTCACTCCTCACCTCAGAGCCAGGAGGTAGAACACCAGGTGGTAGTCCAGAGGAAAAGGGCGACGGCCGTCATCGTCGATTGACCATGCGAAGATGGCCGAGAAAAAAGCCGGGCCCGCGGCCTTCGCCAGGGATCCGAGCGTCATGGACAGTCCGTTTAGGGTCGCCCGCCGGGAGGGTTCAACCGCGTTGTTGGTCGCCAGAGCGATGTTGATGAAAACCTGACGATACAACAACAGTGTGACGATTGCATGATGTCGATTTGGACGGGCAGGGGAGCGGGGCGGTACTGTAGTAGGCGTACTTGGTTGCCCGAGCCTACCGTGGAAGGCCCCACGATGTTACATGGAGCAAGGGATAGAGACCACATATATACATTTCCTACGCATGTTGACAAGGCCTGATTTGGTTATGGTTTCGATCTTACTCACCGCAGTGGCGGTGACGTTGGAAAAGAAGTTGAGGACGATCGAGCCGACGACCAGCGGCACTCCTGAGCCACGCAACCGCGAGAGGAAAGGAAAGAACGCGTACACCGGGATCGCAAGGAAGCACGCCCAGCGCTGCGACCTCGTCACCCCTATTCGTTTCGACAGCCAGGGGTACACCACAAGCTGGAAGGCCAGCATCCCCACTCCCACCAACGAAAGGACCTATGATATGTATGAATGTAAACAAAAGAAATGCGGAGGCGACGAGGAGGTGCGAGGGGGGCACGACTGTACGTTGGCTGCATTGTGTTGTCCTGAGGCGACATCGAGCACACACACGTTAATGGAGGCGGAGTTAGCACCGACAGTCCTTGTCCTATCAGAGGGAGTGTGGGCGAGGGGCAGCCAGAGCGTGCACAATCTTTGGAGATCGCTGCCACCCACGGTAACTCAACGATAGTGGGTCAGTTGTTCGATTGATCAAATCAAGTTCCGAAGAAAGTCTTAGGTCTAAGCCCTAGTCCTAGTCCTACCCCAGTTGATAGGAATAATGTAAGTCGTAGGTCGTGTGGTAAGGTCGTCGGTCGATTGGGCACCGCTTTGGATTTCTCGTGAAAACAATACCGTATTTTTACAGAGACACAAGAGAACAGACAAGTCTCAGACTAGACAAGAGAGGACGAAATTTCGAGTGTGTACCCACAAACGACGTTTCGTTTGTCAAAAGTCCATTCCTGCCGGAACAACCTGACGGTCCAATGATATGCCACCGTCGTGACCGTGCTCGAATACAGTATTGTTAAGGTGTACAGCACATCCACTCTGCTACAAGACAAGTCAGCGTTGACTTGTAGCAGAGTGGATATGCTGCACACCTTAACAAGAATAACACCAACAGTTTCCTGTGCCGTCGGCCTGTACTACACTCGATCACATATACATTCTACTGCATGGAGGCCTTCCGCATTCCGCCCTACTTAGCAGTGGTGGTCGTAAACACGCGCATTAAACACTGCTGTGTCGCGGACCTGGCCAACATCTTTGGTCGACCAATCCAGCCCCCCGCTGCCGACGCTGCTGATCGCCCATAAAGGGTACACAGCTTCAAACCCCATATCAATAAGCTGCCCAGACACAGGAGCAACAACAATAGAAGGCGGCAGCATGCACGTCGAAGCAAGAAGCGCCAGCACGCAACACAGGCATGGAAGAGACGGGAAACAGGGCAAAGGAACGACGGCGGAAGGATGTGTTTTTCCTGTGAGCCACCGAGGAATGCACAGGGACACATGTTACGGTGTTTTGCGACCAAACCTGTCCGATCTGTTTCGTAGTCCAATCCAGGCCCCCACTTGCCACCGTGCTGAGGGCCCATAGCGGGTAAATCTCTCCGAAGCCAATAAGCGAAAACTGACAAAAATATATAAACATGGCGTGGGGGCTTGTTCATTGTTGGTTGCCGCCGTTTTTTTGGGTGTAGTTGTCGTTGCGGCGTTGTTGTTGTTGCTGTGCAGGCGGCATGGCCATTGGCCGCTAACGGCGAGGGCCAACCGCTCGGTCGACAACGCGTCTGCCTGATAGAGCATCACAAACATACTTGAGTGTCAACCAACATGGTTGATCCTATACTTGACGCTTTGAGAGGACATTCGATTTCCATCTGAAGCGGAAAATCTTGGAAGAAGCTTCATTGTGAAGAGTATGAGCGCATGATTGTTCTTGAGGGTGCGTCAAGAGTATCGTGTTTGGGGCGAAGCGCGGTGACAACGCACGTTGGGAGATGTGTGTGACCGAGGCGTCGCGTTTCCTGCAGAGTAGCACATAACCGGACGTGGCATCGAGTAAGGGACAATACGAGAGTTCTTATGTTGACTGCACTCGTTCGAACTTGCGTATCCATCCAGCGGCATTTACGGGGACGACCGAGAAAACCATGACGAATCTTGCATGTGGTACCATCTCTGTGCAGGTTGGAAGAGCAACACCGTGCCCACGTTGAGCGTCATCACATTTCAAACGCCGTGCTCAAAAGGGTCAGAGTTGCTCGCTCACCGAGTAGATGCCGTACACGAAGAGAATTGCCCGGACACGCTTCTCCTCGAGCAGCCTAACCGGAACGAGACACTCTCGCCAGACCGCGCTTCTACGCGTAGTAGCTGTTTGGCTCTCTCCGGCGGCACAACTCGTGTCACCACCGTCTTCGGTGCTGAATCCGGTGACCCTGTTTCCCAAGTCGTCTCCGATGTGGTCTCGTCTTCCACTAGGACTTCCCTTGGTACTGCCCGCAAAGCCCAGTGTCTCACTCCGTCCAACTGGAGATGAATGCGATGCTCCTCCACTGGGTGCCTCCCTCGGAGGCTGCAAAAATCGATCGCCGCTGCTGTTGCGGTTGCTTCCGCCGTCCCCAAAGCTATTGCCAACGCCGTAGCGATCAACATCGATCTTCTTGCTGGCGGTTTCGCTTTCGTCTCCAAGCGTAACCCTGTCGTTGCTAGGGATATTGATTGCGCCGCCAATCGATTTCTCCCAAGCAGAACTACCTCCACGACCCTTCGAATCAGGCACGACGGCTCTGTGCCCGCCACCATCACCACCAGCGGCAGTCGAAACGGTAGCCCTTGCCGAGGAGCATTCCTCAGAACGTTCCCCGAGAAGTTCGGCCAGATGCTCGTCGTCGTCGTCGTCGTCGTCGTCCACGTCATCCAGAGAGTTCGACTGCGTCAGCGGAGTCAACTCAAGTTGCCCCCCCCTCCCCTCTTCCATCCCCGTTTCCTGGGTTTCCAGGAGGGGGCTCGGTTCTGATGTCGCGACAGGATCGAACCCGGCCCTAAGGTTAACGCGCGGTGCCAGGGAGAGAACAAGGGGGGGCTACTGAAAAGCACGCCAGGTCATCACAAACGGGGCTTCAACAGACCTCAATTTTCATGTCCGCAATGACCCAAACGAAGGAACGATGCTAGGGAACGTTATTCAGGGGCGCACCGGTAAACACGCATCACAGCAACGGCATCAGGTGCTGGAGAGGGGAGGGATGGGGCCACGCGCATCATGGCAGCTGAAGGCTTTTAATCCTACAACAAACCAAGGACTAACGCGACGGGAGGCCGGCCAACGCAAACGTGCGGCGTTTTCTGAAAGGCCGATTTCACTGCACTATTGAATTAATATTGGTGGTCGGTTATCGCTGCTACCAGGCCTCATGCCTGTCTGGTGTCTGCCTTCAACGAGCATGGTGTCATCGCGCGAATTTCCTCACCTGGTATCGGTTACACTCCTGCCGTCGCCCAAGTTTGTGGTCTCCTTGAGGAAAAAAAACACCATGGGCAAGCCACTGAAGGCTATACTCGCCCCGACCACGTTCGGAAGCAGGTAAGGGTACCTAAATGGGTGGTGGGCAGACAGCGATGTAGGTTGTCAGTGCCATCTACCAGGTAGCTATGGCATGGTATGGATAACGTACAGTAGAAACAGCTCTCGCTAACAGCTAACAGCTAAGGGCTAAGAACTCTGTATACGCCGAGAACGCGCAACTTCTTAGAGGAATGCTATACTGCCAACATGGTGTGAAAATCAGGTAGTCGTCGTCGTCGTCGTCGTTGTCGTTGTCGTCATCATTGATGTTGTTGTGGTGGTGGTAGCGGTGGTGGTAGCGACTATACTGGATGCTACGCTTGCGTCGCCAACATTGATCTCCCCTGACGAGTCGTTACGGAAGTACAATCGTTACCCACTTGAAGAGTTCGAAACTTGCACCTAGTGATGTTGAATTTCCGCAGGGATTCCCTCGATCCCGTTCGCTCCAGAGTACCCGGGGGGTCTCTCGCAAACTTGTGAGGCTGCACAACTATAAAACATGTGGAATGAAGAAACCTCGCCGCACAGCGTTTACGTAACAAACGACATGCTACCTAAAACACACGTACGATAACGACCTCGACGAACCTTCCGAACAGCCCCGACTCCGAAAACACGTTCGGGTAGTGCGTTGCTGGTTGGGCCAGTAGACCTCCGAAGGCCGGGCCGATGACGAGGCCAAAGGACCAGCAACCTTGATCGGCAAGTGTGACGAGTAACATCTTAGATTCGGATGGCCTGCTTTTTGATGCACGGGCTGGTTGGCGTCATTAGGGGGTCCGTCATGGGCTTGCCCGCACGCAGAGCGTTGGTCGTACCGCTCTAGAACCAAATCATATACCTCAAACATTGGTGGTTGAGTCCCAAAAAGCCCCGACACTACGATGGTTCTCTCTCGGACTTAAAATTGTGCCAGTTATGAGTATACGGGATTCAAAAAACATTCCACGGTTCGATTTAACGATCCATGAAGCTGCGACGATTATGATACATATTTGAGCGTGTACAGGCAACATGTATTGAGAAAGATTTGAGAACAGAGCCAAGAAACGACGGCAGATATGCAGGACCAACGACTTGCCCGACGCCAGAGAAGGGAAAGCAGATGTGCTGATCTGAGCGCTATCGAGCTGTAATCGCGACTGTGAGTGGTGACTACGCATGACTGACCGGATGATGGAGTATTGTATCGAAGGAGTTGGAATTTCATGCACGCTTGGAGTACTGCAGCTTGCTCGCTTTTGCTGTCATCATGGAATGCTTGGCAGTCTACAATCGAACTCACGGAGAATAGCTAATATCTGTGCAGGTGAGAGTGTGTAACTTGGTGAGAACGTAGATTATTGGATCACGTTCGAGTGCGGCCTGGATGTGCAGGAGGCCCTGAAGCGCCAACAGCGCTCCACCCATAACGTAGATTAGCCCTTCTCTGGAACAACGCAGGACCAGCGACTTGTGCTGACACTGTGGAGCCTCTTTTCTCATGTGTGCCTTGGTTTTGCAGAGAGAATACCCGGTTGGAAGAAGCTTGGACACACGTATACTTGGGGAAGAAGGAAGACTCGTCGGCCTACGCCCAACTGCAAAACTCCGCAATAATCGCAAGCCTTCTAAGATAGAAAGAACGAGGATTGGATTCCTTCGAGGGCATTGCTTGAGAACCTAAGGTGCCCACGCTTGCATTTCCATCGAAAACCATGAGAGTCACACGAAGAAAGCTCTTTGAACTCAGACGAAACGTCTCACACATCTTGTGTGTGTGGAAAGGAGAAGGAAAAATAATTCCCGCGCTACGAGGTTCGTGCAGTCCATGTAAATGTACTAGGTGGTCCTGTAGGCTGCAGCAAACCTCTTGGCGAACCCTAAAAAGCATCCTCACTCATGCATCGAAATGGTGGTTGTGTGTGTGCTCCTCCTTCAGGAAATGTGAAACAGGAATGGTGACGTATGTTGCCCCGAGCTGACATACTGCAAAACTAACCCTACCCTGACGTTAGCCTAACCCTAGCATAACCCTACCTAGGATTGGCGTCCTGTCAGTAGAAACGTAGAAAACACCAGATGAGGTGCGAGGCGTCTATCCACATGTCCTGAACCCCAAGTATGCTTACCCAAGCACATATTGTTACCTGTGATGTAGCCCATACCAACTGTCTCGTGCTGCTTCCCGCAGATCTCGGAGATCATGCACTTCGATATAGCTATAAGGCCGTTCATCGCTCCCAGGAGAAACCTAGTGGTTGGGAGGCCGTCGGCGTTAATAGCAATTTAAGCCGATGCATTCTTCGCTGCCTTTGGATGTGATCGCAAAAAATGGGTACAACCCTCCTCATGCGAAAATCGAGAAGATCGAGTTTTCTCCACAAGACAAGAGGGTCGCCGATACCAAAAACGATTGGATGCTCTCAAGGTCTTGGACAAGATCTTACCAGCGCCGCCCCAATCGACGCGCACACCATGCCAGTTGTCCAGCTACACACTCGGCCTTAGAATTTGTTCAGGGAGGTGCGGTATCTTGTGTAACGTACGAGAGCATGCAACTCAAGACCTCATCTATAGGTTCAATCTTATCCCAACCCCTAGCCCTAACCCTCACCCTAACCCTAACCCTAACCCTATCCCTAACCCTAACCCTCACCGGCAAGTGAGGGCCCACCAGAAGGCGGTCGACAGCCCGAAAGCCAAAGACAGGACGCCGATGGAGCTGAGTCCGATGTACACCACCGGCAGCCGCCCGTAGCGGTCTGCGAAGCGGCCCCAGAAGTACGAGGTGGCGAACCGACCAACCATGAAGGCGGACGCCAGGTAGCCGGCGTAGTATCCTGTTGGTTGGTGTTCGTTTCGTGTGTTTCGTTCGTTCGAGCGGGGGGGCGGGGGGGGGTCGACAGTTTTCTGCGCGTGGAGATTTGGTTGGATGTCCTCTTCCCGGTGGTGTTGAGCTGAGTTGGTGTGTGTACGTGAGCTGCTGGCCTAGCGCGGTGCTGACAACATGTTTGATTGGGTGGGTGCAACACGTTACACATGCAGTACGGCACGCGAAGGCACCTCGTTTTTTTTAAGACCGAAAGCGTCACGTAATGCTTGTGTAAAATGCGTCTCGACTCAACAAACCTTTTCAGGATCTCGCCCCTCCCATGAACGAATCCCTGGGCCAAGAGGGTGGCATGTGTCGTTCCAACAGAAAGCCACACACTCATGAGTGCGAGTGTAGCACTCACCAGCCTCATCCTTGTCGTCGGCGACCCCGAGGTGCTGCACCATGTACCCCACGTAGGGGAAAAGGCTTGAGAGGGAGTACGAATGGCTCACGAGGCCGATTGCGAGGGCGAGCATCGGCAGCCATGGAAAAGGAGTCCCCATGCCCCTGGCTGTTGGAAAGACGCGCGACGACGGGGCCGTTTGTTGGGAGGAGGGCGTTCGGTCTGCTTCAAGTCGCCGTTCGCACCCACTGCATATCCCCACACATATACGTCCCGGGTGTCGGATCCGGCATCGGATGCTTGCTCTTGCATTGTACCTGTAGGGATAAAAAAAAAAAAATTACAACTAGTTGTTCTTCAAGAAACAGTCCATTCTGTATCTACAACAGATACCCAGCTTGTAAAAGTTGCTCTGCGAATACGTTACCTTTTGGATATGTTAGCCTGTGACCACGGGAATCGACCCCGTCAAGTGCTAGACTAGTACGGACAGAAGAAGGTACTAGGCAGCCAATCACACTGATTATTGCGATTGTCGCCATGTTTTCGAGCCTTTACTTCTCGTAAACCTCTGAATCGTCCATAGGTTGTGAATTAATTCGGATATCTCCGGAGGGTAAAAGTCACCGCATAGCGAGAATTTACAAAAATATGCGAAGTACAAGAAGAGAGCTAGGTGAACCCTTCTAGTAGCGTTTGAAGCTTGAAGGCATGCACAGAAGGCGGAAAGGCTGGTGCATCAAACGCACACCGAAAGGTGAAATAGACTATTTGTACAAGACTGGAGCCCAGAATGGAAGACAAAGCACGAAAAGGAACTCACTTTTTCACCTCACGACCCGACACTCCCTGAAGGACACGACATACAACCCATGTAGTGCGGACTCAGCATGGTCAATAGCTTTCATAACGAGCAACCGGATTCGGCGACAACTCGAGACCGGCTTGTGTGTGGTGTGAGCGAACAGGTCAACACGGCAATGTGCAACAACACTGATGACGTTCAGGTACCAGGGAATAGTCTGCCTAGTGTGCATGAGGGCCTGTTGGTGGTACTCCTGCTGTTGCTGTTGTTGTAGCTCGCTGAACGCGACTATATGTGCTCGGTGCAATATGTGGCAACATGTTTTGGTACAAGTTCTCCGCGAGCATGTGGGGACATACAGATCCTGTCCCTGGGCCGTGGAAGCCAATCACTCGAGTTTGATTGTGTTTGTGTTTTTATTATTGGCATCGACCGTGCTAACCGGCTAAACAAAGAAAATACGCCAGTCTCAGTGCGGTTGGAAGCACAAAATTCTTCCAAAAGCCATGGTCTGGGACCCCGTGAGGGGGTGTCGCAAGTCCAGCACCCAGCCTGTTTGTTTTCCTCCACTCACTGAAAAGACTCCCAACACATCCCCGTTCGACTGTGGTTATTATATCTCGAACGGGTAGTCTCTCTGGGTGTGTATTTATTTTTCTTAAAACTATACTCACTCGCATGTTGTTGCTGCTTTCATCATTCTTCTTGCTTTCACCGTTCTCTTAGCTAATTATCCTGTAGCGCTACAATATTGTTGGAGTGGGTATGGGTGTTTGCCTTGATTTTTTCAATTGCCCGATCGATCGTTGTGTGTATTTTCGTTCCATTTACGCACATAGAGCAGTAGTGGCGCCATCAGCGCCAGCAGACCCTTTCGATATATATATATATTGACGCATCAGTCTGGATCGCACAGGAGGAGGGTAACACAGGGAGGTTTTGTCATTTTTTGTCCCATCTTGCACCTGCGGTGCCGTCATGTCCTAGGTTCAAAGTTCAAACTGGCCTAGTGTAGTACCTACCATGGTTGCCGGATCATGAGAGAGAGTTGCTCTTCGAGCGGAGCTCTTCGATGTCAAACGATTTCTCCCGAACACCAACAGCGACAGGAACAGAGGGAAACCCATGAAGTGACAGCTTGAGCTCATCCGCGACAGTAGCAACCATGCATCACTCAACTCCGCCGCTTTGTGTGTATCTTCAAATAGCGTCGATGCGCCCTGCCTGTGTCAGTTCAAGTATGCATGCATACGTTGCAACGTGCTGCTCACCAATTCAAAGCAGGTTCCAGTTCGTGAAGCTTGGACGAAGTCCTGCGCGCGACGGGAGTGACCACTGGTGGATCTGGTTGGCAAGCCACAGCGCATGTGGGACGCGTGTTGTCCACAAGACTGCTGAGGAGGGCACAGAGCACACACCTCACGAGATCCGTTTTCTGGTCTGTTCCTTGTGGAGTGGAGCAGCCCAATCAGCCCGCACTGCGGCCCGATTGCGGGGGTCCCGCACTATCAGGCGGGGGGGGGGCGAAAAGTGGAAAATAACAGTCCCTGGACACTTGCTGGAACCTGTCAAAAAGATTTACCCGCCGGGTGTTCATAGCCGAGCCGTTTCAGCTCCACCATCTTTCGCCCGTGGATCCACTCCTATGCCTGGTAGTATCACTCGGGCCTCACGGCAGATACGAGCGACTCCTCCTGCGCATCGGCTATCAAATGTTTGTGAGCACGTCGGTTGCAGCAATTTCAAATCGTTCGTCATGAATCTTCCCCCGGCCTGCCCCCGGCCCTGCTGGGGTGGGCCGAGGTCCGTAAGTGGACTTAGACCTCGAAACACCACCCAACAAAGACGGATACACAGTCCCTAGCACTGATCAGAAGGGGATCCTGAGTTTGGCGGCCGGGAACTACCGCTGTCGTAAGATCGGGGTAGCTCGCGACCTAGCGGACTTGGGTAATAATAGCTGCAAATAAATGAGACTGAATCCAGACGCCCCGGCTTGGACACCGGGGCCATACAGCAGCAGAGAACACGGTGACCACGGTGGGGGTATGCACCAGAGAGGGGAAAGGAGAGGGTCCAGAGCTGGAGGGCCGCACCGCTCCGGGACAAGACAACTCGCTGAGACAAAAGGCAAGCACCGGGGTAACTTTTGTACGTAAGCCCGGAGCCCGCAAAATATTTTAACGACGACAAAAAAAGAGGGCACGAACGAGGAAAAAAAGGAGGGGACGGGCGAAGCGTAGGCTGGCTAAGAGAGCAGCACGCACCGCCCGAGAGAGACAGCAGGGTCGACTTCTTAGGGTAGCAAACTGGAATGTGCGGACTCTGGCTGTAAACGGGAAGAATGGGTACGGGCGAGCCTTAAGCATCCTACACGAGGCAGCGAAGCAAGATGTATCGGTGGCAGGGCTACAGGAGGCCACGAGGCCAGGTCAAACGGAGTTCGCCGCAGCGGGTTTCCGAGTGTTCTGCTGTGGTACGGAGAAGCGTAATATCCATGATGTGGGAACAGTTAAAGAGTCACTGTGCAAGACCTCCACTTTCACCACGAACTATGTCGATGAACGCCTCATGGCCATGAGGTTTGAGATGACGGGCCACCGCGGAGCTGTCAACTTCGTTGCTGCGTACGCCCCAACCGAGGTCGCTGCCGCTGACAGCAAGACAGAGTTCTGGGGAAAACTTGACAGTCTCGTGCGGAGGATTCTCTCCATAGAGTGCGTGTATATCCTGATGGACGCCAATGCTCGGACGGGAGAGAGGATGGATGGGGAAGACGAGGGCGTCATGGGGATACACGGGCGTGATGAGCTAAACGAGAATGGCAGACTGCTGCTGACCTTCGCAGCTGAAAACAAGCTAACACTCGCGAACACGTTCTTCGAGACACGCAAGGTTGGAATATGGCACACTTACAACGGTGCGTCAGGGACCGACCGCTGGCGCCTCGACTACATTTTAACGCGGCAGACACACCGCGGCCGAGTGTCTAACATGGTTGTCACCCCCCAGCCGGTATACCCAGTCAAGGCGGACTCAGATCACAACATACATGGTGATAGCCACCGTCAACCTCGGTGGCAGGCTTGCCCACAACCGAGCAGCCCGGACCAAACCGAAACAGAAGCAGTTCGACCGACGGGAACTGCAGGTCGAAGCAACGCGATGGGAGGTGACTACGCGGTTCCTCCTCAACCTCGACCAACAGCAGGGCGAACGAGCGACCACCACCCCGGAGAAAGCGACCGAGTTCACCAATGCTCTCCTCGAAGCGGTGAGGGCGATACTACCCAAGGAACCGCGGAGACGACGCACGCAGGAATGGTGTGAGACCTGAGACAAGAGCAGCATTGGAGGAGGCCCTCACCAAACGGCGGGAAGCGCGCCGAGCGATGAAGGACAAGTTGAACAAAACATCGTGGAGGGCCCTCAAAGCAGCGTGTAAGGGAGTGACCGCAGCAGTCGAAACGGGCATGTATGCCCACCTGGACAGATATGTGACGGGACTCGAAGCGATCTACAAGGACCGTGATATGCGAGGCCTCTACCAACACCTCAAGAGATCAGTGGGGCTCAGCGGGAGACAAGCGGGAGGAGAGCAGCCCGTTGTGGACGAGAATGGCGTGCTGCTCCGGAGAAAGAACGACATCCTCCAGCGATGGGCGAGATTCTTCGGCACCCTCCCCAACACCAAGTCCCCCACCCTGAACCCAGACATCATCGAACAAGTGACGCAGCGACCGGCGACACGTGCCACTCGACGCTTGGGAGCGGTGCCAGACCTCGAAGAAATGGAATGGGCAACGAAAGGACTGCAGAACTGGAAGGCACCCAGCAATGACTCCCTTCCTGCAGAATTGCTCAGAATCGACGTCGACGACGAGAAACCTATCGTCCTGGAGCACATCCGTGACATCCTCGTTGAGGTGAGGAACGGAGGAGAGATCCCCCACGAGTGGAAGGACGCAACCATCAAGGTGTTGTACAAGAAGGGTGACCGGTCCAACTGCAACAACTTCAGGGGGATCCCGCTCCTATATCACGTAGGGGCAAGGTCCCCATCAAGATCATCACCAACTGCCTAAGCTCCTTCTGTGAAACCAACAACATTCTCCCGGAGGAACAATGCAGGTTCCGACCCGGGCGATCCACCATCGACATGCTGTTCGTCGTGCGCCAACTCCAGGAGTTGGAGCGGAGAAGGAAAATACCGCTCTACATGTGCTTCGTCGACCTGAAGAAGGCGTATGATTCGGCGGACCGAGAGCTGCTGTGGAAGGTCCTGGCCAGGGCCAGGATTCCTGATGAGATGATCGCCGTCATTCGCCAATTCCACGACGGAATGCGGGCGCGGG